TTCCACACTCTTGCAATATTCTAAACAATGTTTCTAAACTCTAAAAGAGCACAGAATGTCATGATTTAAGCTCCCTGCCTCCTCTGCTCTTTGCCACCTGCAGGCGCTCTTGGCCACGCCCACTTCTCCGCTCTGCACACTGATCAGCTGCAGCAGGAAGTTTGTCCTGCAGTAAGGGCTGCACAAATGAGAAGCAGGTGCTAAATATTTAAAATAATTTACTTTAAATAAAAATTCCACGCCGATCATGCAGCTCATCCATCAATCAGTCAGTTGTGTGTCATGTCCAATCTTATTTTGAAAAACCGCGATAGAGCGAGTCCATGATAAATGAACCATGAAGTAGCTAGGAACTACTGTATTGCAATACTTTGCATGATCTAATGTAATATTTCAAGTAGGTGAAGTGAATAACTCTCGGCTACTACAACGCCACATGAATCTGATTGATTCCAAAGATTAATCAACTGTAGATGTAAATTCAGAGACTAGTTTCTGAGAGTTCCATTAAAATCTGTCCAGAGATTGTTGCTAACAAGAAATGTTGACGTGAAGAGTTAATGTCATGGTTTCTGTCAAAGACGACGCACAATGTTTTACGAAATGTGTCTGTGGCGATGCTCAGCTACTACCACACCAAATTTTAGCTTAATGCCTGTAACAAACTAAAACTGATGACCTACAAGCTCTGTCTCCCACTCTACTTTTAGGAATTATAGGAACCACAGGTAAACCTGTAGTCTGAGAACAAAGTGCTCTGTTAGATCTTTAACGTTGGATGGAGCTTAGTTGTTTTTCTCTCATGTGTCACAATTTTTCCGAGGGATAGGAAAACATATTTCTCACAAGTTAGAAAGAAAACAAAACCAGACTTGACATTCATGAAACATCAGCGCCTCCTTCAGGCTGAATGAATCTCTTCTGTACCGACTGCAGATTACCTGACAGCAGTTGAGTGGAAATGATCCATTCTTATTAAAGGAAAATACCTCACAGCTCACAAAGTTGCAGAGAGCAGCACAACTGAGCCACAGTCGCTGGAATACGTCTGTATTTATTTTTAATGCTGCCTGACCTTTGGGAGCTACATGGAGTTCATTTTATTCTGAGCTTATTAATGTTTCATAGCATTAAGACTGAAATGTAACTCTGACAGTCTGCGCTGAATTATTAAAACAACAGTTGGTCATCGTGAAGCACGTCTGCAAACAGAAAGGAGAGGGAGTTTTCCACAACATGAGCTCTGATATAATAACTACTGGGATAGAAAAAGATAAATCATGAAGCTAAATTATTGTTTCACCATTCAACTTTTGTAAGTTGAGTTTAAAACATAAAAACAGGCTGTATGATCTTTACCTTGAAGTTATTGGTATCATCGTTTCCTGAGTCAGCTGCAGACTGGGGGACATCGGACTGGCTGCTCTCCGAGTTGGACTCTGAGAGAGTAGCAGGGCTGACAGGAAACACAGAGTCCGAGTCCTGGATCTGACTCGATGGGGTCGTAGATGAAAGCACGGCTTTGAGGAGCTCAGCTGCAAAAAAACCCAGAAATAAATAAATTAAAAAACATAACTAAAATTTAAAGGCCTAGAGTTTCCTGAAGGAATCTTCCTGCTTACTGTTTTTATGCTGGGGGGGGTTAAACTAAGATCATCTCATGCAGAGACGGTGCAGAGTTTAAGGTGTTAGTCCAACCTTGTAAAAGACATAATGCACAATCCCATGCAGTAATCCTAGCACTCAGATTATGGGTTGAGGATAACTCTGAGCTTCCACACTAAATATAAGCTTCATATCTGTAAAACTGAAAATCAGTTGCAAATGTGCAGTTAATATTTACCTTCTGAAATGTTTCTTTACATCTAACCAGTGGTTCATGAGATATTTTGCTAACAGACAGATAAAACAGACTCCAACTGTTAATGCTAACGTTTTAGTGAATGACTCTCAGGTACTACCACAGACAGCCTTAGCTACATCTCTGTAAAACTGACTGAGTTATGTACATTATGCCTTCCTGTGTATTCAGTTAACTTTGAATTTGTGTTTGTCACTGCTGAAGCTTTGTGAACTTGTGTTGTTTGTGTTTTTGGCTTTGATCTACATCACCATGGCATCAAAAGTTGGAAAAGCTGCAACAACTACAGCTTGTTTGTGTCTCCTCTCTGCTGGGCGGTGCACAGTAGGTTGGAGGTGGTACCTTCTTTCAGGGCTGCAGCCAGCAGCCCGGCGGCCTGCGGCAGCTCCTCTGGGTGCGTCTGGACCAGCAGTCGTGGTTCAACGAGCGAAGCATCCTCTGACCTCCTCAGAGCGGAGAGGCCTGCATAGATCTGCAGCTTTTCCTCCAGGTAGGAGCAGATCTGCTGGTCCTGGCTTGTCAAACTCTCTGTGACACAAGCGCATACAGATCAGGGATAAAAAAATTAAAAATTAGGGGATGTAAAAATGTCAATAGACTGTGATAAAAAGTAACAAACCCACACTGCCATAGATTAACTGATACCTTGTAACTTGAGGATTTTCTGGAATCGAGCCTCAGCAGCTCGTTTCTCCTCTTCAGATTCACTCGAGTATTCCTCTTGTTCTTCTGGACAGCTATGCAGCAAAAACAAACATTTGAATATTGATCTCTTGATGCTTTCTTATCACACCCAGGGCATGAAGTCATAAACAGACCTCTCCACAGCCTCTCTAATGAGCCTCATCCAGGCGTTGCGCTCCTCTTTGGATGACGTGTGAACCTCATACATTTCCGGCCCTGCAGACGAGGCACTGATCAGAAACATCCCCCTCTCTTCATTCGCCACTTCCCGAACTATTAACTTCTGCAGTGGAATGACGGGAGGTTTCTGGTCCTGAAGTGCAGTAAGAGAGGAACATGCTTGGTGAGCTGAAGGGGGTAAAAGAAGCACAGCTAACGTCCACAGCCAAAAACAGTGTCCTTACCACGATGGCAAACGTATACTTCTGGTCTTTTTCTTGGAGAAAGATGAGAGTGTCTGTGAGGAGCAGTGCCAGGACATCTGGGAGAGTCAGAGCAAGCCAAAGAATTTAAATAAATGGATATACATATGAAATATATATAAAATATATTTATTTATAAAGTAATGAGTCTGAATTAACAGAGACAGAACATATGGGCAATATTTATGGCAATCTAAAAACTACATGTTGAATCAGAGGACATATTGCATCATCATCCATTCAGCTGTCAAACTAAACGTTCAAAGGTTAAAGACCCATTGTTATCAGATATTTAGGTGAGGCTGGATGGATCGTAGAACTGTCCAGCATGTGAGGCATACAGATGTTACAGCGGACTGATGTGGATGCCAACAGACACATCAAGGCAGATAACTCAAAAGGAGGATCATCATGTTGTTCATCAAACATTACAAAACCCCATGAAATCTGCTCCCGCCATCATTGAACTGGTTTATGACTGTCATCCCATACTATGCCTCAGTGACTGGTGTCAGGTTCTCTGCCATTAAAGGAATAGTCTGGTGATTTTTGAAGTGATGGTCTGTCAGATAGTTATTAATAGTTAGTAACTTATCAAGCGTGACATCTGTCAAAGAGCACAGAGTGGCAAGAAAAGAGCAAGTTTCTCTTTTTGGACTGGGATAACAGTTAACAAAGAAAGTGCAAAATGTTATATTTTTTTTTATTATTCTTTAGGCTTATAAAACATGTTATTCTAAAATACAAGTACCGGTATGAAAGAACACTACTTTAGCTAATAGTAAAACTCTTTTGCATGGCCTCATTTGTTTACTTTGTTCATAATTTTTTTAAACCAAACAATGTCTATGTTAATAATATAATATGTAAATGTATGATGGACCATGTGTTTACTGATGGTGCTGAGGCTGCAAATGTGTCAGTGTGCCTGATCAGCATGTCTAGTCACTGCAAAGGTTTACTCAACTCCCAGCAGAATGATATTCAGCAGCCTGTGCACACACAGAGCCCATTTACTCTCAGCGTGCACACATTCGAGCCGTAACTCAGACTTGTTCAGTTGAGGAAACAGGATATACTAAACTACTGGTGTCAAGTACATGTGTAGAGGTTTAAACTTGGTTAATGTAGTGTTCCTTCACTTTATATGACATTTTAGTTGTTTTATAAACCTAAAAAAACAACATAGACTGGCTCTTGTCCGGATGGTTATTAGCCCTTTAACATTTCATCCATCCATCCATCCATTTTCTTTACCCGCTTATTCCATTTCGGGTCACGGGGGTCGCCGGTGCCCATGTCCAGCAATCACTGTGCGAGGGGCGGGGTACACCCTGGACGGGTCGCAAGTCCATCACAGGGCCACATAGAGACAAACAACCATTCACTCTCTCACTCACACCTAGGGACAATTTAGAGTTACCAATCAGCCTAACATGCATGTTTTTGGACTGTGGGAGGAAACCGGAGTACCCGGAGAAAACCCACGCATGCACGGAGAGAACATGCAAACTCCACCCAGAAAGGCCCCTGGACCGGGGTTTGAACCAGGGACCTGCTCGCTGAGAGGCAGCAGCTCTTTAACATTTCAGTGTTTTTGTATTATTTTTATTTCGGCTTTCTGTGGTTCTTGTGTTCTGGTTGTGTTTCAGTTTCCACAGTATTTTCCCCTTATGTAGTTCTGTTCCTGCCCTGCCATGTTCACCTGATCCTTGTTGCCCCCCCCCAGGTATTTGTCATTTTCCATAATTTGTGTTCCTTTAAATTCTGTCACTTCCCCTGTCTGTGCATTATGATCTCCTCAGCCAGTCATGTTTGTTCCTTGTGTTTACCAAAGTTTTCCTTTTGAAACAACTTTAGCTGCAACATCAACATTTTGATTTTGTAAAAAGTTAGTTTGTTTATTTAACCTTTGACCCCCTTTTGAGTTTTGTCTGCCCCTTGGGTTCTGCTCCCAACATGATAAGACCAGCCTGGACAAAGACTTTGCTGCTTTTCTCAGTACTGTGTGCTCTGTGACTGATGTTGCAGCTGATAAGGTACAATCTGACAGAACATCACTTCAAAAATGTCCAGAACACCTGGGCACAGGTGGCTGTGTTTGGTGTGGTGTCAGAACTAGGAGCCATGGAGAGATGAATCTGGATTGTGTATGAGCAGTGAGAGCATGCTCACTGTTCTGAACTGAATCACTGCTGATCAGATCTGAGGGAGGGATGGGGGACATTGACAGAACTGAGAGCAGCAGCCTTCCCATGACACCAACTTTGTTATCAATCTGTAGTAATTATAATACAGTCACATGACCTTTTCAAACAAGCAGTTTTATTTCTAACACTATCTGGGTGCTTTCTTTATTGTCAGAGTGTTTTAAAGCTTTTCTAAACCTAATGTTACATTCAAACTGAGTTGCTTTTTCTTGCTGAAGCATCCATTCTGTTGGTACCGGCAATAAAACATTTCACTTTCATGATGTTGATTCTACAAATTAATATTAGTTATCCCAAAGTACTTTAACAAAATGTGACTTGTATTGATCTGTTTTGGACATCAAAGTATGGATCTTCTGATTTGTGGGTTGTGTTTTTGCTCGTGTGCAGAGCAGCCTAAAACAGTCTCACCCTTAAGTCGACCGGTGGCTGTTTTCCACAGAAGCAGGCCCTCGTGTCTGAGCATTTGTCCCGGACCCATCATGTCGTGCTTGCGGAAGGTTTTCCCGCTCTTCAGCTTGGTTGTGCTGCGATTCTCTGTGCGGTTCCACACTTCCTGTAACCTCTGGTGCCGTTCGTATTCACTGACCCTCAGATCCACGGCCACTATCACTTCTCGAATCTGAGCCAGAGCTTTTGAGAGGTTGGCATGCTCTTCTGTTTCCTCTAAGAGATGAGGATGAACAATAATGAAGAGAAAGAGAAAGAAATGTTAAAGATGGGGGGGGGGGACGACCAGAGAGACACGTCTGGTTTCACTGGAGGACAAAAAAAATTAAAATTAAAATTCGGTTCTCAAAATGGCGGATGCTCGGTGTGGTTTGAGCTCTTTAGCATAGTATTTGTCACACAAAACTTTTATTTTAAAAAATCAGTAAACAAATTCTCAGCTTCTTTTTGCAGAGAAAAGCAACTTTTTACACGAAGGCACGGGTTTTACCCGTGAATTTTTGGAGCTTTAACAAGACGGAGGTTTTTTCCTGAGGTTAGCCTGTTAGCTTAGCTCATAGCTTAGCTTCTTAGCTTAGCTGTTTTTAACGATCCAAAAACACAATTTGGATGGTTAAAATGGATTTTAAAGAGAAAAGAGAAAGGGATGGGTCAGTGAAGAGCATTGGAGTTGAGCCTTTTGCCACCCAGTGTCTTCAGTAGAAAGAGAGACATGAAGAAACGATAAAGACGATAAAAGAAAACGAGGTCAATAATTTTCATTTATCATGTGATTAATTGATTTATTGTTTATCACAACAGGCCTACCTGTCAGACACATGCACAGTATATTTATGTACAATACAACAATCTATAACAATGGCCTGGACAAGCAAAGATCTTGTATAAACTTTGACCTTGATCTGTGACCTTGACCTTGAAACTGTGGTGATGAAAAGTGTAGGTGACACTGTCTAGAAACAAAGTTAACTCTATTAGATCTCAGCTCCATAGCCTCCCTGATCTTCGTCTGCCACCTACCCCTCTGCATTCTGGGTCCATGAACTGCTTTGATGAGGTTGTTCTGAGTGAAGTGGAGACCATCATCAAGAAAATGAAGCCTTCATCCTGAGCCCTGGATCCCTTCCCCTCGTCTCTCATTAAATCCAATCACTCTGCAATAAGCCCATTAATCACACAAATAATAAATAAGTCACTACAATCTGGTCATGTTCCACTGCCTCTTAAAACTGCCATCATTAGGCCTCTTCTGAAAAAATCTAATTTGGATCCAGACATTCTTTCTAATTACCGCCCAATGTCTCACCTCCTATTTCTGTCAAAAGTGCTGGAAAAAGCAGTTGCTGCTCAGCTGCAGATCCACCTACAACAACACTCCCTGTATGAGAAGTTTCAGTCTGGCTTCCGTGCAGCTCACAGTACTGAGACCGCACTGCTGAGAGTCACCAATGATGTCCTCATGGCTACTGACACTGGTTCTCCCTCCCTCCTTGTTCTCCTTGACCTCACTGCAGATTTCGACACTGTGGACCATAGTATCCTCCTCCACCGTCTTCATGTGGAGGTCGGTCTCTGTGACACTGCCCTGGACTGGTTTAAATCTTTCCTCTCCAATAGGCTGGAATGTGTTAGTCTTGGCAATGCCAAGTTCCAGACTGTCTGTGTCTCCTGTGGTGTCCCTCAAGGGTCAGTTCTAGGGCCCCTGCTATTTTCCCTTTACATGCTGCCTTTAGGTCAAATTATTAATAAGTACAACATTTATTTTCACTGTTATGCTGATGATACACAGCTTTACATCAGGACTCGAGCATCATCATCACCATTGTCATCTCCATCTTCACTCACTGCCCTCTCTACCTGCCTGGAGGAGATAAGGGCATGGATGAATCAGAACTTTCTTCAGTTAAACTGCTCCAAAACTGAGGCCATACTGATTGGCACCCCTCACCAGGTTCAAACATCAACTATAACGACTATTTCCTTTTCTGAACAAGACATCCCCCTCTCTACCTCTGTTACAAATCTTGGAGTAAGAATGGACTCTCATCTTACATTTGAAAATCACATTAAACATCTGTTTAAAACCAGCTTCTTCCATCTCCGTAATATATCAAAACTTCGCCCATCTCTCACTTTTGCTGATGCAGAGAATCTCATCCATGCATTTGTCTCCCCCAGGCTCGACTACTGCAACTCCCTGTTTACTGGAATCCCCGGCAAAAACCTTCAGAAGCTTCAATATATTCAAAACAGTGCAGCCAGGATTTTATTGAGAGCTCGTAAATTTGAACATATTACACCCATTCTCCATAACCTCCATTGGTTTCCTGTCACCTACAGAATTCAGTACAAAATTGCTCTCATTACCCATCAGTGTTTAAATGGAACTTCACCAGATTATCTGAAGGACCTTCTTGCTCCATATTCATCCACTACGATCACAGAACATTTTCCTCCACCTTCCACAAACTAAATTAAGGACCATGGGAGATCGGGCATTCTGTGTGGCTGCCCCCCGCCACTGGAACTCCCTCCCTGACTATCTGAGAGCTCCGCAATCATTGGTTGACTTTAAAAAAGGCTTAAAGACTTTTCTTTTTAAGCAAGCCTATTCTGCCTCCACATGATTTTATCACTGATTTTAGTTGATTTAATCACTGATTTTAATTGATTTTTATCATTGATTGTAGTTGATTTTATCATTGATTTTAGTTGCACTTTGAGATTTTTGTTAATGAAGTGCGTTACAAATTAAATTCATTATTTTTATTATTATTATTATTATTATTATTATAGAGATGATGCATAAAATGTGTATCAAGTTTCATAAAATTATCTTTAGCAGATCAGAGGTTATGGGCGGGACAAGAGGCAGTTTATGTCCGTAAGTATGTCTGTACGAACAAGTGGACAAAGATTGTGTCATAATACGTCCATATTTTGACGGGCGAATAAAAAGTGAAAAAAAAATATGATTATCAATGAGATTTTAGTGAAGAACATAAGAATTACAGCACTCTTTGGAGCTCTGGCATACTTCACAGTCGAAACATCATCAACGTGTGGCATGGAGGCTGCAGAGCTGCAGAAAGAAAAGCTTTGCAGAGAGTGGTGAAGGCTGCACAGAAGATGTTGGAGTCAGTCTCCCCACCATCACAGACATCTACACCTCCAGATGCAGGAAGAGGGCCACCTGCATCATGAAGGACCCCACTCACCCAGCACAAACACTTTTTGCCCCACTCCCCTCAGGAAGGAGGGTGAGGAGCATTAAGTTTAGAACCACTAGACTGAGGAACAGCTTATACCCTGATGCTGTTAGACTCATGAATCTCTAACCAGAATAATCACTGTGAAAAATCACATCATGTTGCTGCTGATCTGTTTCATGTTGCTGCTGATCAGTTTCATGTTGCTGCTGATCTGTTTCATGTTGCTGTGTTCATGTGTGCTCATCTGCTCATACACTCGTGTTCGTGCTGCTGTTTGATGTAATGTTTTTATGCTATTAGTGCTTAGCACATTTTTAGTTGATGTTTTTCTTAGTTCATATCTTAGATCTTATTGCTGTTTTTCTTTTACATTTTATTGTTGGATGTAACTGGAACCCTGTGTACATAATTTCATTCCACCACATGCACCACATGTGGTGGAATGACAAATAAAGAAACTTGAATAATTGAATCCTTGAATCTTTGAAACATCATTCAAACTTAAAAAAAGCACAGAACTGTAGAGCAGTGGTTCCCAACCCAGGTCCCTGAGGAACACCGTCCTGCATGTTTTAGCTGTTAGTCTACTCCAACACATCTGATTTGAATGAAAGGATGATTAACAGGCTTCTGCTGAAATTAAGGAAGTAATTAAACCACTGAATCACATGTGTTGGAGCAGAGAAACAACTAAAACATGCAGGATGGTGTTCCTCAAGGACCAGGGTTGTAGCGGGACACCTCAGACTGAGAAACCAAAAATATGTTTTTGTTTGAAATTGTTAAAATAAGACATTCATCCATGCCACTCATCCTTTAAAACATTCCTTGTTTAGCTTCCACCACTTCCTAAGTTGGACAATAATGAATAATACCATACCATACCACTTTATTTATAAAGCACTTAAAACAGCAACAAGGCCAACCAAAGTGCTGTACAGACAAAACAACAGGTAACACACAAAGCAAAATACAAAATGAGATAAATCAGAATATAGACAAAAAACGATGCAGATAATGACGACAAACCAGTGTGGAACATACAGGATCAAAACACAGATCATCTGGTGTTGAAAGCTACTGAATAGTAGTGAGTTTTTAAACGGGACTTGAAAACCGAGAGGGAGGGGGCCTGTCTGACAAGCAGAGGTAACTCGTTCCAGAGTCTTGGTCCTGCTACAGAGAAGGCCCTGTCACCTCTGCACTTAAGACGAGTTCCTGGAACTGTGAGGAGCAACTGGTCCGCTGACCTCAGGGAGCGTGGTGGGACATACGGTTGTAGCAGATCAGAGAGATGAGGGGGGGCGACACTGTTCAGTGATTTGTAGACATACATGAGTATTTTGAACTGGATTCGAAAGTGAACCGGTAACCAGTGCAGTGAGGCCAAAACTGGTGTAATGTGCTCTCTTTTGCCTGTACTGGTTAAAAATCGGGCTGCTGCATTCTGGACCAGTTGTAGTCGTGCAATGGAGGTCTGACTGATACCAAACAGGAGCGAATTGCAGTAATCTAGCCTAGATGTAATGAATGCATGTATTACTGTCTCCAGGTTATTTTTGGACAATATGGGCTTCAGTTTAGACAGCCGCCTCAGTTGGAAAAAACATGATTTAACATCATGTTTACATGATTGTTAAGTTTCAGGGAAGGGTTCATTATCACTCCCAGATTAGTGACTCTTTGTTTTTCTGACAGGGTTAGAGCGGAAAGGTCGATGCAGTGGTTTGTGATCGTGTCGTTGGGAGGGAACAACATGACTTCAGACTTCTTTTCATTGAAACTCAAGAAATTTAAAGCCATCCAGTCCCTGATGTCAGCCAGGCAGTTGAGCAGCGGTTGAATAGAGCATGTACCATTGTGTCTTAGGGGGAAGTAAATTTGACAGTCATCGGCATAAAAGTGGAAGGGCATGTTGTGTTTCCGGAAAATAGCACCAAGCGGCAGCAGGTATAAAGAGAATAGGAGGGGACCCAGTATGGACCCCTGCGGAACCCCCCATTTAAGCTCTGCCTCTGCGGAACTAAAATCCTTGATGGAGACACAAAAGGATCTGTCAGTGAGGTAAGATCTGAACCAATTGAGGGCTGATCCTGTGACGCCCACCCACTGCTCCAACCTAGCAATGTTGAATAATAGAATAATAAAGACTGTTAATGTGTATTAACTTTTAACCTGCCAAATGAAGTCAATAACCTGAAAGGCCTTTCTATGAGCCTTTGTATGAACCTGACCTTGGCGTTTTGAAACATCTGAACCAATGGTTTGATATCTCTCCTTATCCAAAAGGACCCAGACTCTCGTTCCCATGAAGATAACAGAATAAGAAGCCTTTGTTCACTAATTCATTCTCTTTGCAGGAGATCCACGGTCCAACAGCCTCCTCTGTTGGAAACATTGCATGTTTTAAAGATTAATTCAAAGATGTCATTCTTGACTGTTTAATCAAGAAAAGTGTGTGTTTTGAGTAATAGTTCTTAAGATAATACTGTATACTTTGTCTTGTTTTCCTTTAGAATTGAAACTTTGAATGCAGAAATAAGGAATTTAGATTTAATTAGCTAATTTTCTTTATGAGAAACAGAGACCAAGAGTCAGAAACAGCATTATGACTTCTGATTGGATGATAAGTTAACAGCCACACCGCTTCTCTCGTGGGTGATGTTGTCTTCAGTTTCAGTTTTGGAGAAAGTCTCATTCAGAGAAGAATGATGAGAAAAAGATGAAGAACAAAGTCTAACTTTTAAAAGTTGGAATTTTATTTAAACTTTCAAATTAGTTCAAGTTTTCAAGCAAAGTTGTCAACGGACGTGACAGCCACGTTTTGATGGGACCTCTACGCCAGGTCCAGACTCGCAACACCTGACTTGCTGAACCAGAACCAGAACCAGAACCGAGATGACAGACGTTACAGCCAGTCAGCGTGAAAGGACATGAGACACCCAAATCTGCATAAACAGAGTTAGTTTTTGACCTTCAAAATCCGGTGGATTCAGCTGACTATCAGGACCAACAGGAGGTAGAGCATACAAAGACTGTCCACTGATGGAAGGGACTCCTGGATGTCATCAACTTCACGTTGTCACAACTCCACTGGGAAAGAACCCGGTTGGTACCTATCTTTAGTGGCTGAGAGGAGCTTCCGACTTCCAGTAGGGTTGAAGCTTCCTTACTGCTCGTCAGGTGACTTTTAGGTGACCTCACAATAACTATACCAATTATTAACAATTACATCAGACAAAAGTTCAGCCTACAAATATTTACTCCTTCACAAATCAGAGATAAACAAACATCTGCCTTTAAAGTTTCAGTAACTTTAAAACGTATACTTTTCTTTTCAAAAACACAAATAATTTGATATACCGTTTATAATTTCACAGATTCATTTTGTATTTTTTATTCTTATTATTATTATTATTAGTAGTTCACATATATTCTTATATCACTGATTATTCGATTTTTGAAATAAAATACACAAAATCATACCTGAATCTGTGATCATTTTTAATCTGTGTGTTGATAAAACTTGATTTCTTTATACACGGGAAAGAATTCATGTTTTGGGGGTTAAAGACTGATTCATGAATAATAAAAAAATTATTTTTCCTCTAAAGAGGTGGTGCCCTGATAGTTTAATAGAATTATGAACATAACTCATAATTAATCAATATTACTCCACTCTCACTCTCTACAAAACTTTGGACTTTACATGACTGACCTGGCATTTTGATATCTTTTACAGACTTTATATCATATATAAAGTTTATAGTTACAGTTTAAGTTTGATTATTAATGGAGATTTTAGAACACAAAATTCATGTAGCAGTTGAAGAAGGCTTTTTACTTAAAATGTTGAAATATTTTGATAACTTTTTTTAGATACAAGCACAAATTATACATCAAACTGTAGGAATTATTTGTCTTCTTTTGCTCACTGTCTCTCTCTGACGTACAGTTTCCTCTCAAATAACCAGAATGCACAGAGTGTACACGACACTTCTACAGAGTTTAGCTTTTTTAAATTTAGTTCAAAATTTTCTCTTCAGACATGGAAACAAAAAGTGTTTTAAACTTGTTTTATATTCTACATAAACCTCTGCTGGAACAGAAAGTCCCCTGTGGGACCATCAGAGTCTTCTGCAGCGCACATATACGTTTTCACAGCACATATTTGTTTGAGGCTTACTTTTCAGCCTGCCTTTCTGTCTACCTCTCATTTCTGGGGCAGTCAGGGGGGATAGACGCAGGTGTGTGGTTACCATGATTATCATAATGAGTCACTGGCAGCAGCAGTAACTTTGTTTTTCTGAGCTTACATGATTACAGTTCTGTTGGAGTTTTGAGCAGCGACTTGAAGCCTACACCCATATGACCAGCAGGGGGCAGCAGAGACTAACCTTCAGTGTATTGTAGCATCCTCTCCAGCAGCACTGGGTATTTTGTAATTCTTTGGGTCACCAGCAAGATGCACTCTGGGATTTCTCTCCGCCGCACCAAAGAGTTATTAACTTGTTGCTTTAAAGAAGTTAATCATGTATTATGCTTTTTGTCTTCATGCTGCAAGCTTTTGTGTTGAAAGGAAAATGTTTTTAAATACCTTAATGAAACTCTGAAATCTTTTGTTATGTTGCTGGAGATCTTTGAAAAAGCTGACCGCTTCATTGTGACGGCTGCAGAAGTCTCCATAAACCTGCTTCATTTTGTCTCCATTCTCATCTGAAAACTACAGAACAGCTTATTACAGAAGAGAAACCATAAATGTGAGCAGCATCAGAGTCCCAGACCCTCTGCTGACCTGCTGCAGCAAAATGTCTCCAATTGTCTGGATCAGGTAGTTCCTGTGTCCTTGGGGCTGCGCAGAGTTCTGCCGTCGTTCCTTCATGGTAGCAAAGAAGGCATGATGTAAAAGGAGCAGCTGGTCGAGGCAAGGGAACACCCGCTCCACTGCTTCTTTGTCGAGCTGCACTTCTTCCTTCATTCCCCGCCGAAACACCCTGGCCATGATGTGCAAAATCTGTAGGTGGTGGAGCTCAGTCTGCATCAGCTCTGCAACAGTCCCACAACTTAACACTCAGTCGATGCGTGCAAAGAGAAATCTTCACAATCGAAGCAATTTTCAAACAATTATGATTTGGACAATATTCATTAAGAAAATACAAATTAGGATCTGTTTACCATAGATCACATCCTGCCTCTTGACAACACATTTCTCCTGCTTCTTGCAGAACTTGTGCTCAACTGTCAGACTCCATGACTCAGCCTCATAATCCGCAGAGTCAGCAGAGATGTCGCTGTGACTGAGGATAAATGAGTCCACACAGTCTGTGGAGACAACAGAGGACAACATTTTAATTAAAGCTATCAATCATCACTATTCACAATATCTTAAAGAGAGACTGTCACTGATTTAAAATTACTGCTTTATTCTTGAGAAAACTTTAGAAAGAAATGCTAGTCTCAGCATGGGGGAGGGGGCATTTTATGACAGAATTGAAAAAAAAAAACCCATATATTAATTGCAGTCTGTTGCAAATCTGAGGATCTGTATGGAGAGGCAGATTTCATTTTCCAGCAGGACCTGGCCCCAACCCATGTCACCAGAAGCACCAAAACCTGGTTTGATGCTCATGCCACAGTGCTTGACTGGCCAGCCAACTCGCCAAACCTAAACCCCATTGAGAATCTATGAAGTATTCTCAAGAGGAAAATGAGGGGCACCAGACCCAACAGCAAAGAAGAGCTGACAGCAAACATCAAGGAAATCTGGGCTTCCATAACTCCCAGTCAATGCCACAGGCTGATTGCCTCAATAGCACATTGAATCGAGGTAGTGATTAAGGCAAAGTAACAAGTATTGAAGATTGACATATCGTTTTGAAAGTACCATATTTTGATTGATTTGTTGTGATCCTGGGCAGCACGGTGGCGCAACTGGTAGAGCTGCTGCCTCTCAGCGAACAGGTCCCTGGTTCAAACCCCAGTCCAGGGGCCTTCTGGGTGGAGTTTGCGTGTTCTCTCCGTGCATGTGTGGGTTTTCTCCGGGTACTCCGGTTTCCTCCCACAGACCAAAAACATGCATGTTAGGCTGATTGGTAACTCTAAATTGTCCCTAGGTGTGAGTGAGAGAGTGAATGGTTGTTTGTCTCGTTTGTCTCTATGTGGCCCTGTGATGGACTTGCGACCTGTCCAGGGTGTACCCCGCCCCTCGCACAGTGATTGCTGGACATGGGCACCAGCGACCCCCGTGACCCAAAATGGAATAAACGGGTAAAGATAATGGATGGATGGATGGATGTTGTGATCCTAATTTCTTTCTTTTTTTCTACAAAAACTGAGTAGTGTGGGCTGATGTCTTCACAGTACTCAAATTTTTTTTAATCCTGTTTTCATGGGTTTCATGAGCCAGAAGCCAAATTATGTAAAAACAAAAAAAAAAATACTTGAAATTGTATAAGTTGTGAACCCTGAAACTATATATTTATAAAAATATATATATGTATATATATATATATCTCCTTCCATCCATCCATTTTCTTCCGCTTAT